GGCCACCACAATGCTGAGGAGACGTGCCCGCCACTGCATGGCCACCGTGCTGCCGCCATGTCGAGGAGCCACATCTACCACCGCTGTGTTGAAAGATGGGAGAGAGGTGCGGAGAGAGAAGTGCAGAGGGAAGGAAACAAGGCGGGAGGACAAAGAGGATAAGGATGAGAGTCACGAGACTTAAAATATTTGTTTTTCTCTTCTTTCTCGTGCTCCACACCTGGCCCAACTGGCTCTTGGCTCGGCTCAGCATCCTAAAGTGTCAGTTGTTTTTTTTAAAAAAAACCGACACTTATATCCCCTAGATGTTAGAAATATTATTGGTGTCGTTTTTCTAAAAAAAACAAACTTATAGTGGGTTATATGTGTCGGTTTTAAATTTTAGATCCATATGACGAATTAAAAGGACAGGGAAAGCCTTATATGCATGCCGGTTTTAGTTAAACTGGCACATTTAAGGGTGTTTCCTATTAAAATTTATGTAGTAGTGAAAACTAATATATACATATAGTGTACTATAAACATACATAATATAAAAACATGAAAGTTAGTATGGATGTGTATTGTGCCTTTTTCTATAGCTTTGTTTTTTTTATTATTTCCTACATTGGATAAGTTTTATGCCTACTTATCTCTCTTTTTATCCCACTAATAACATGGTAATCTCTAGAAATGGAGAGCACACATTGAGGATTTTACTCATGAAGTTCCTTCAAGCAATCCTAAGGCTTTTACTCATCGAGTCAAACAATCCGCACAGACCTTCAAGCCGAGACACGTGATCAAAGCACCGAAAAAATAATTTTAGTACATGACTTATATATTTTTATATATTTCTATTGTTTGTATCAATTCAAAAGGAGCCGACGAGGTGCCAATTACTCCCTCCGTCCCAAAAAGACTCAATTCATGGGTTTCCGTGTCCAACGTTTGACTATCCGTCTTATATGAATTTTCTTTATAATTAATATTTTCATTATTGTTAGATGATAAAACATAAATAATACTTTATGTGTGACTTATCTTTTTAATTTTTTTCATATTTTTTTTAAATAGGACGGACGGTCAAACGTTGGACACGGAAACCCAGGAATTGAGTCTTTTTGGGACGAAGGGAGTAGGGCCAAGCAAAGAAAGAGAATCAAATAAATAAAAATTATAAAATATCACCCTTTATAAATAAAATTTACATATTTAAAGGTAATGAAATTTCATGAAACGGTAAACAAGGTGTCCACATATGCAACAGGTAGACTTCCTTCCTACTCCCCTTCGTTAAAAATATAAGCACTTTCATGGGTTTCTGCAAAAATAAAGATCAAACTAGAAGACTATCATGCACCTCATTTAGAGAGGGTTAGAGTGGAAGGTAAGATGAGATAAGAAAAATGATGGATGGTTAATGTGAGTAAAGTAGCATTTAGAAATGTTTGTCTTGATATAGTTTCAATGAGCTTCCACAAAGGAGTTATTTTTATTAATGAAGGGAGTATTTTTTTTAAAAAATAATTAAAAACCTGGCCTCCACACAGACCGAACAAACAAAGTCCAGATGACTAAAGCCTCACCTTACGCAAAGGTAAAAGGAATTATTTTTTCTTTCAACGGTGAAAATAGGCATGCTTCTTGATTGTCAAACAGATCAAGAAAAACTTCATATCATATCAACCATTAAAGTATAGGTTTTTTTTTTCATTCGGCATTCAACGTACCACGGTCTGTTTTCTCCCGACTTTTCGTAATTCAAATCAAACTTTGCACATGGAAGGTGCGGTGACTTGTACGGCGAAATGAAATTGAGCGGACGGATCTAGAGTCCAAAGACTAATTAACCAGTTTGGTCATCCGCTTGAGGCGTACTTGTCCGGCCCGGAACGTACGACGCAGCAGCAGTTCATCGCATCGCACGAAGAAAAAGTTCTCTTCGCTGGCTCGCAAATTCTCCGACCGCGATACGGCCGATGTGCCTAGCTAGCTTGGAATATTGGACCATTGGAGGCTTATTACTATGCCTACTTGAAGACAGTAAATGATTGAGGATGTGTTTAGTTCACACTAAAATTGAAACGATGTGATGGAAAAGTTGGAAGTTTGTGTGTAGAAAAGTTTCGATGTGATGGAAAAGTTGGAAGTTTAAAGAAAAAGTTTGGAACTAAAGTCGGCCTGATGCATGTAGAACATTCTCATTTCTTTTGTGCACACGTAAATAAAACTACACGTCAATATATTAGAAGAAAACATAATTGCCTAGGAGAAAAAAAAGGAGAAAAAAAAGACTGCTAAGGTAAAGAAACTATTACTTAAAAAACGCTACACCTCTAAAGAGGAAAAGTGGTGGCGGAGCTCCACTACACTCCCAACAAGCCTAAAAATAGCGGCGGTAAAAGAAGATCGAACCAAATCATAGTGCGATAGTGTGCAAACTTAACAAAATTATCGCCGATCCATAAGCAAACACCGAATAAATGCTAGTCTCATTAAATGATAAAGTACTCCCTCCGTCCCTAAATATTTGACACTGTTGACTTTTTTAAATATATTTGACCGTTCGTCTTATTCAAAAAATTTAAGCAATTATTAATTCTTTTTTATCATTTAATTCATTGTTAAATATACTACTACTCTAAGTTTTTGAATAATATTCACAAAAGTTTTTGAATAAAACGAACGGTCAAACATGTTTAAAAAAGTCAACGGCGTCAAACATTTAGGGAAGAAGGGAGTATTAGTCTTTACATCGTGAGTTACTAGATTATATATGCTCTCGGACGAATTGTGTAATAAGTGATTATAGCTCCGTTACAAGAAAAGCCGAAATTTATTTCATTATCTAAAGAAAATAGGCAAACACTGAAGATAATGTTCTGTTAGCATCACGGTGGCCTTTCAGAAACACTCAAAAGCGTGTATTCGGCTGTACTGTAATTAGCAGTGGAATATTACCGGAACAATCCGTGTTACGAGATTCCACCGAACCATACAAAAAACCAAACCACAAACGCGTCGTCTTGTGTTGATCGATGGGACAAGTTTTTCCCCAAACATGTCGCAGCAAAAAGCTCACGGCGACGATGCAGTAGGTCGTTTCCATCGATCGATCCGATCGGGCTTTTAACTATCTGTCACTTTTAAATTTAGCAAATAACTATTTATCACCTCTATCACAATGACATGTGGATCCACATATATCTATGATATGTGGTTCTATTGATAAAATGTTAATTGCCACATTTAAATGTGACAAATGGTTAAATATCTCCGATCGAATCAGGTCTTGTTTACTACAGTATTTCTCAGCGTAAAAGTTCAGAAAAGGATATGCACATCGTGTTCATGTCCCTGTCACACGCAGGCGAAGAAATCAAGGCATGCAGCGTTAATTCTTCGCCGACGTCGGTGTCATTCGCTCCATCTCCGCGTGTAGACTTGCCATTGATCTTGCTAATACTGAGATTAACAGCGACACATACATGTAGACAAATCAAAAGCTAGCGTTAATTCTTTTATGAGACCTACCAAATCAACCACGTCGGATCGATCGAGGGGTTAGCATGAACAAAGGTGCATGGAATATACTGTTGGTGGTAACCAACAAAACAGGAGGAGAAAAGGACGCTACTTTTGTATACTAATAGCTTGGAACAAAGCTACAGCTTCTTTAGCAACCAATGATCACCAGTTCATGCCAAACTTCCTTTTGGGTACAAGCAGAGGAAACAAAAGAGGTTAACTCTTAGACTGAAAATATATACTCCCTCCATTTTTAAATTTATAACGTTGTTCTATAACATTTAACCATTCGTCTTATTAAAAAATATATCAATATTATTTATTTTGTTGTGCCTTGTTTTATTATCAAATAAAATATAATCTTAACTTATATTTTTATATCTTTAACTAAATTTTTGAAAAGATAATAATCAAACGTTGCGTGAAAAATGAATAGTATCGTCATGCATTTTGAAAAAGAGATAATACTAGCCAGTAGCCATTGGATATGTATCTCTTTCATTTCTTTCGTCAGGACGAGCAAGCAGACCCATCCTAATCCTATCATATATGCATGACACGCTACAAAACGCGTTGATTTTGTCACTTGCACGAGACCGACCTAGACCTATATGAAGTTTGTCCACCGGTAATTATCTTGCATTCAGATGCAACATACAAACTCCTCTCAAATCTAGTAATCTACAACAATTTAATCATATTTAGCATTTCCTGATTCAACGGATTCGGCAGCAATTATATTCCTGGGAGTAGTACTGAATTAACAAAAAAGACGAATTCACTTGAATCATGGCATGCCACTTTCGAGCGTGCAATTACAGGAAAGCTAGACTTTTACCAAACATACTGCATGACCTGATGACTCATTAACCTGTATTTAATTTTGACTGTCGGGTGTAACAACCTAATTAACGAGGTTTTGGTGTGCACGTTACTGGACCGACCAAGCAGCAGCAACTGGGAAAAAGCATGTCACTCCACCGTCGTGCTAGTACGACAGAGAAAGATTGTGAGTGATAGACATCAATCGAGACAGCAATATCTTTGCCCAAATTTCCCTCCCGTAATATAACGCGACTTACACGAGCAGTGCGACTCGACGTGATTATATGGCTGCTGTTTGTTTTGAACAGCTGAACAAGGTTACCTAGGATTAATGGTTTGGAGTTCTAAATTGGAGAAAGTTTCACACGTTTCGATCGGAAATTTCACAGTTCATGAGTCATGAGAAGGTGAATTTTTGACTGGGAGATGATTTTCTGGCTCCTTTTTTCATTTTGCACTGCACTGCTTGAGTTCTTTCCCTGCCTTAAACAGGCCGGCAATCCAGCAGACTGTTTGGGCCTCAAGGCTTCAATTTCAGGGCCAGTTCGTATTGGGCCCTAATTTAAACCCATCACAAAAATTCATCTCTAACTCTCTAAAGGCTAAAGCCCAATATAAGCTTTCAAGAAATTTTACTACCAGACTAACAAACGGAGAAAAATTCATGATACAAAAGGATGGCAGCAGTTACAATAAAACAGTTATTGCTGTACAAAAGCTGGCCACAACTGTTCATCATGTTCTTTGACACAAAGAAGTACAGAGAAATTCAGGAATGGTACAAACACCTGGAACCTACCCAGGATATATCTCTCGATTCCATTGCATTCCAGGGATGATGAACTCACTAAAGTTCACTTTTATGTTCACCTAGCATACTGAAACAGCACATTGGTACATGAAAGATAACAGATAGCATCGAGCAGGATAAATACATAGAACCCCCTTCTTCCGACTGCTACAAAGACGAGAGGCGAACGTCGCGCCGTGCTTAACAATTCGATCCTAATCCTTCTTCAAGATATCTTCTGGCTCTCGAAGGGTGCCGAACATCCAGTCCATCCACACGGTGTAGTGGCCATAGTTGTGACGGTATGTTGTATGGTGAATGGTGTGATAGCCAGCACCCATGACCGGCCAAACCTTGCCGTGAATGCAGTCATGGATGTTAGTTGTCCACACGGCCTCTATGAACAAGAGAGCAATGTGTGTCCTGAAGTGTGTTGGGATAAGGTAGAGCGCAAACACATGCGGTATGGCTTGCAAAATCCCATCCAGTGGATGGAATGCTAGTCCTGGAAAGCATGCAAGGCATAAATCAGAAGCTTGGTGGAAGAATACACAATTCTCAGCACCAAAGGAGTTAACTAAAGAAAATTGTATTGTTTAAAAATGTACATTGGAGCGCCATGGCATTTTTTTTTTATTATGGTATGGCCTACGGGTAACAGGTTTAGGAGCCTTAAATAAGGTATCCTAGTGTTTAAGCACATTTAATTAGCAGGAAAATATATATAACTAATACACAGAATTATACTAAAAAGCTGGAAGCATGGTAAAAATAAGCATTCGGAATATGGAATCTGTTCTCATTATATATCTATGCACAGCGAAACATAAAAAGTGAATTTGCAATATTAAACGGCTCCATAAAAAACTTACCTGCAAATGGTGATAGGGTATTCTCCTTGTTGTAAATATGGTGGTATGTGTGCAGGTACTTGTACAATGGCTTTATGTCATGCAACTCTCTGTGCATCCAGTAAATTCCAAACTCAACAAAGATAAGATATAAAGCCAGATAAACCAGGTACATTGGCCAACCAACTTCACTGATATTAACATAACACTGTGTCCATCCATTCTCAACCATGTACTCAGATAAGGTTGGAAGGGCACAATAGAGAGGCATAGCCTTTGATGCAACAATTATTTGCTTCTTCATAGCTTCGATTGTAGGTATAGAATCTGCATCAAGTGTCATAAGATTTCAGCATCAGCTTCCATCAAACCTTATCACATATTACATACACATTGTTTAATGTGCTCATCATCGTGGACTAACTCATTTCAATAACCATTATAAGCAACATTGCTATATTAAGAAACAAGAGACATCTATTGGGAAGGTCAGAGTCTCCACTGCTAGTATGTATGGATATGCAATATTTGATACATGATTAATGGGTATAAAATGGTTTGCATGAAAAACAATGATCTAGCTATAGTTTCTATACTGCCAGGTTAGTTTCAACAAATGGCCTAGAGCTGAAACAATGCCTGCTCAGGCTACAGCACACCAAATCATATCGAATACATGAATGATGGTGACAAACTGCGCTAACATCATTTGCATGTAATAGCTGTCATACAGCAAAATGGAACTTGATCCCAAAACAAGGGGGAAAAAACCAGCTCAAAAGGTTCCATCCCACTTGTCCAACTGTGCTGAGCCTGAGCCACAAGGAACAAACTAAAGGTATCTTGGTCCCACAGGAGAGGTTAGTCAACAATCACTGGTTCACAGTTCATAAGAAGACAGGCTAGACACCATTTCAGGCTTTGTGCCAAGAAATCCAGAAAGTGATGAACTCAAAAGATAACACAATCATGCGCATCTTGCTGCATGGCCTTGATATTTACTACACAGGTGTCTGTGTGGTGTGCGTTTTGGAACAAGCTGCCTAAATATCTAGTACCTGAAGTTGTAGAAAGCATGCCTAACATCATAGAAAGAACAAGAAATGTGTGAACTATTTATGCATAAGCAAAATGAATAATGACCACTTGAACAGAACAAGAAGTTAAATGGAAGGATGACAACAAGAAGGCCATCCAAGTCTGATTTCTGGATTTTAAACAATGTGTTTTGTAAAAAAGCTCTTTCTGGGATGCGGGATGCTGGCTGATTACTTATGATTTCAGGCTTATCTCTGAGAATGTGTCCGTTTGTGGGATGATATGCTCCCAAAAAACAAATTAAGGTTTTAACTTTGTTATCATGGTTTGTTTAGTGAACCATGTGATCTCCCCCTGGCTCTTAAAAAACTTGACAACAACGTCTAACTAGTAACATGTGACTGGGGTCAGAAGCCAGCCAAACTAGTCAATTAACTATGCACCTACCCTTACAAGACATTGGAACAGATCTAATACATGAGTAACATGCAGTCATGCGCACTTCCATTTATCTGTTAGCGCATCTAATGTTTTTATTTTTCAGAATGTCAGTTCATCTAGCTATTTTTCTTCTCTTTTGTTGGCCCATAATAGGTCATGTTTGGTTACTAAAGCTCTTCGGTGGGATCGCTAAGGTCTTGATATGCTTCTACTGAACCGTCATACCAAGTTTGTAACTCTCAATGCTTCAAACAATGTGATAGCAGAAACCTAAAATCCTTACGAAAAGAATCACTAGACGGTTATGCAGATTTTATTTTAACAAGCAGAATGCCGCAAACATCTACACAAGAATGGAGTATAAACCACAGTCTCCCACTTAGCATATATTTCCAGATATCTATCTTCACTATCTATGATCCAAAGAGAGAGGCAATCCCCAAAGGGAAATCAATTCTCAACCAAAATAGAAGGCGTAGACGAGCCCACGGATAGTACGAAGTGAATGATACCCACAGCTGCAGTAAAACATTGTAGATCATGTGTCATGTACAGCAATTTCTCCCCAACCCACCAAACAAAATCCGAAGGGAGGACGGACAGTTGGAAGCAAAGCTGGAATCTTTCGTTCGTTCTCAGCACTAGCTACAAATCTATCGCCATCGTTATCCCTCTGAAGCGCCGAAACCACTGAAAATCTTCAAGTCCAAATCCCTTACACCTCATTAATGAAAGCGGCCGTGTGGCCAACCTCACGTCACACACAGACACACCCAAAAATATCAATTTTTTTGGAATGCCCTTTTCCCTCTAATGGCATCAGGCATGTTCCACTAATAAATTCTCAAAAAGAGAGGAACAACAACTCCTCCCTGTTAAACATAGGGGGGAAAAACCCTCCCTGTAAAAATCCACAAATCAAAATCAAGAAGCAGTAGCAGAGGAGGAGGATAGGAGAAGCGCGGACCTTTGGGGATGTAGGCGTGGCGCTTCCAGTAGTAGATGACGAAGCACCAGAGGAAGCCGCAGGCGAAGTAGATGAGGTAGCCGCCGAGGCCGTTGCGGAGCCACGACTGGAGCGGGTGGGGGAGGGCGCGCCACCAGTCGCCCGGGACCACATGGCTGAGGAAGATCTCGTTGTACCAGGCCGTCTCCTCGACGAACTGGCGCAGGTACTCGCCGCCGCCGCCCGCCATTGCCGGCCGCGGCGCCGCCCTGGGATTGTGGTGGTGGACTGGTGGTGGTGCGGGGGTTGAGTTGTAAAGCGTGGAGAGAGAGAGTAGGGAGACCCAACCTTCGTTTGTGGGTTTTAAAGGAGAGACAGACAGTAGTGCGTGGGGAGTTGCAGGTAATGCCAGCCTGCCAGGTGGAAATATATAGGGCTAAAACCCACCGATTCACGGGCCGGTTTAAGCCTTTGGGTGGAGGCCAGTGGGCTGTAGTTACTATGGGCCTATTCAAGGTCATGGTTAGTTCACACCAAACTTCCCTTAACTTCTAACTTTCTATCACATTCATCACATCTAAAACTTTTCTACACATATAAACTCTTAACTTTTTTTCAAAACTACCAACTTTTCCCAAACTTCTTCCTAATTTTAGGAACTAAACACAGCCCAGGGGAGCTTCTGGTAGATGTGTCTTCTCTAAGAATTAAAAGCTTACTCCACTCGTACCAAAAAAAATAACTTAGTATTGGATTAGATATTTACCCTTATTCAGATTTATTGTACTAGAAAATAACCCATCTAATACTAGATTGGTTTTTTTTGACAGAGGGAGTGCTGAATAATTCGGTTTTAATCAGATTTAGAAAAGATGCCGTTGTAGAATTCAGAAAATCAATTAAATGTTAGAAGCTACGAAATATTTTTTTTAAAGATTCACAAAAACTGGCTAAAAACCAGTAGCCTTTTAGAATCTTAAGTTCCTTCAACCAGGTCCTTTGGCTCAGCCAGCCACAAGTGTATTCATCTTGGCGGGAGGGATCTGCTTGGCTGAGATATTGGCTTTGTGTTCTGAGGAGCATACTGTATGAGTTGTAAGCACAGGAGAATATAGAGAAGTTAGATTTATCGGTTTCTGATTTATAGTTTATTTTTTTTAATTCTACGACTATATATTCTCAGCATATAAGTGAGAACCTGTGCTTTTCAGAGAAGCTAGAAAATCAAGTTGCAGCTACCAGACACTCTCCAAACAAGGTTATCGTTGCAAGTAGCCAAGGGAAAAAATAATTTTAGGACGGGATTTTTTTTATGCTTATACTCCTCAGCTGCGTTCTTTTCAGCTACTACATTACTGAGTACACGTTTTCTAAACTATTAACTCGAGTAGTTTTGAAAAATTAAAACTAAGTTTCTTAGGATACTTTTCTAAGTCCAATTTTCAAAAAAAAAAGATATTTGTTTATGGCCTTAAATAATTGGTGCATAATCACTTCTCACACGCACCATAAAAACTCATCGCTACCTCCTCCGTCTCTTAAAAACAAATACAATACGAGATGGTGATATATTGTAGTCCACAGTATTACGAATATTTATTTCGTACTAGATTTTTTTATGTAATTAAAAGAATAGACGTTTTACTTACTATAGTTGTTTATTATGGGATGAAAAGAGTAGAGTTTTACACTCGGACCGTACGTACGTCTGACTACCGGTCCCGTGGACCCCTGTTTTTTTCTGCCCACTGGCATGTGGACCCCATTGACTATATAGAAAATACACGGGAAAACGTTGTGCGCCGTAGGTATTACTGGGACGGACTGAACACGTGCACGTCCAAACATTCCGTATTTTACCTGTGTATAGGCAAGTTGTGCCCTGCGCCTGCTACAAAAAAAAAAGCACAAGTATGTATACTCTACTAATAACCGGGCAGTGTTTCAGTGCGACAACATGCGAGTGGCATCGTTTCGGTATGTGCCCCACAGGCCACAGCCTGTTTGAGAAAAGAAAAGAAAAACAGTTCGCTTATTTAAAACAGTACCGAGCATGGATCCGATCGCACATTTCCACCTGATCAAAACGCCCGATGATCCATTTTTTTCCGATATGGAGCACTATACTAGGGAAGTACGTTGGTGTGTTGCCGTATTGATATATCCATGAACGTACGGCTCTACTCAAGTACTCATTCGTTTAAATTTTAATCTGGCACCAAAAATTAAATAGTTAAGTAGTATAACTCTTGTTTACCAAAGTTATCTATTCCTTTTCAAAGGTACATGAAAAATAGTAAGGCCGTGTTTAGTTCACCCCCAACTACCCTAAACTTCCAGCTTTCCATCACATCACATCCAAAACTTTCCTACACACATAAATTTTTAACTTTTCCTAAACTTCTAACTTTTTCAGGAATTAAACACAGCCTAATTCAGTCCACATGGATCTTTTTGGGTTTCAAAATAGTCTGCATACAAGAAAGGACACCTACCAATAGGCTATGCTCTCTATGTTGATTGAATGGAATCCATTATTTATTTATGGATTATTGAACCGTTTTGAACTAGTGGTCTGACGGTCAAACCAGTGAACTGATGGTCTTGTCGGTTCAATTGCCGGTCCAGCCTCAGTAAATATAGTATTACCAGATCATATTATTAGGACCACATTGACAAAATAAAAAAAAAGAGAAAACACTCTTAAAATACAAGCAACCCCGTTAAAATACCCCTAACCTCATATCACCCAACTGGCCTTAACAAGCTGGTATGGTATGTACGAAACTGTGGGCAAATTATGCCTTACCACCAATGAATCGATCGAATAGCACCGTAAGAAGACCGATCGAGACCATGGAGCAAAATCTCGTCACGTTTTGCATACTGAAAATGTACAGACGTACGTACTCCGTACAAGTTACAACACAACGGGTCAACATTACATCTCCCGAGAGCCATTTCTGTTGCCGGATGATATGGAAGTTTGGACTTTGGAGTTGTGTACTTGGGATTTGGGATAGTACGTGAACAGTGCATATGCACGATCTAGCACAGTGGCGGAGCAAAATTTTCACGCTTAAGACTAACTAATGGGATATCAAATATTTTTATAAAGGGACCACCTATACATTTGTCGACAAATTTTCTCCTAAAAATTTGACAGATATAATTATAGTACAATCGTAATGTAATTCTTATATGTAATTACACTGTAACTTGCACGTAAATACAGTGTAACTTGTATATAAGTTTCATGTAATTTTAAATCTTTAGATCTATTACAAGATTTGTTTTGGTGAGGAAGAAAAATAAAATCACAGCACACATATATGTGTAAGGATTTGTTCCCACAACCTCTATTTTACCGAAATAACATATTACGTAGAGATTTTTAAAAGTTACATACAAGTTACACTATAGTTACCGTGTAATTATATGCAAGTTACAGTGTAATTACACTATGATTGTACTGTAATTACACCTGTCAAATTTTTGGGAGAAAATTTGTCGATAAATATATAGCAAAATCGTTTTATAAATTACATAGAATTTTTCAAGATTATAATGAAAATTATGGAGCTAGGTATGGGCCCAAGCCCTAGCTGCCCTATGCCTGATTCCGCCCCTGGCTAGCAGCACGTACGTACGTACGTACGTAATCCGACGGCGCATGGACAATTATTGGACATGCAAATGCTTATCGATCTGCAGACGATCGCACGTACCACACGCACGTTGGGGTACTGTTCACTTACGGGCAGCGGTACAGTGGTGCGCTGATGTGCACGCCATGCCAATTGCCTGAGTTTTGTCCACAGGCGTGCTGATCTGTAGGTTTCAAGAATTTCCTATTATATTCATGGCCATACTACGCGTGCAACATGCTGATATATACTACCTCCGTTTTCTAATAGATGACGCCGTTAATTTTTTCTCACATGTTTGACCATTCGTCTTATTTAAAAATTTTATGTATATGTATAAGATATAAATCACACTTAAAGTACTATGAGTGATAAAACAACTCATAACAAAATAAATTATAATTACGTTTTTTGAATAAGACGAATGGTCATGTGAGAAAAAGTCAACGGTGTCATCTATTAAAAAACGGAGGGAGTATTTGTCAACAGATTTGCTGTCATGGCCAGGGGTGGAGTTAGAACGAAATATAAAGAGGTGCCACTTGCTTAATTTACTCTACTTTACATCGAGTTTAAGCTGACATGGATGCCTAAGTTTATATTGAGTAAGGTATAACTTAAAAAAATTTCTTAACCGGGTTGCTGGCACCCCTGAGATACTCTACCTCCGCCCCTGCTTGGCCCGTACAGAACACTTCAACGTTGAGAGTCATATAAGAAATCGAGTCATACCTTTAGAAGAAACAATTGTATCTATATATGCTAAGGGTTGTATATTAAATTCAATTAGATTTTGCAATCTACTCTCTCTGTACTAAAATATAAGCACTTTTAGACTTCGGCACAGTTTTCGAGATGTCTTTGACCAAGATATTTTAAATAAAAAGAGTTGTATATTGTGATAGTTTGTTTAATGAAAAATCTAATAACATCAATTTTAATGATTGATCTTTTTTATATTTTTGCTATTAAAAGTTAAAGTTACAGATATTTGACTTGTAACTATGCTAAAAATACTTATATTTTGAGACGGATGGAGTATTATATAAAGATTACAACAGTGACCGTGATAACTGAGGCACGACACTTGATGGTCCAACCGCTGTTGCATCTGATGTGTTTGTGCTCGAATGCTTTCAGCTTGGGGCAAGTTGCGTTAGAGGTGCTTCTGTGCGTAATGGATGGTATCGGTGAGCGAATGCTAGCTCTAGCGGTTGGAGTTGCCAATTTGGGTTCGGTTGGATCCGGCCAATGCAAGGAGGCAGGGGCGGATCAGAAAAGATTACCAAGAGGGCTTAAACAAACTATATAAAATTATAGCCTTTTTTTTAATAGATGCATGACAAAAAATTTTAGTAGGGTCTTTCATGGTTACAATACAGGTAGTGGAGTCTCGAGACCCTATAAACTCCACGTTGGATCCACCACTGGTAGGAGGTAGGAGCCGCGTAGCAAAGGAGACAGGGATGCAGGAGTTCAGCCTGCGTATCAAGATCAACTCAATGCGAGATGTTTTGACGCGGCATGGATTGATGCAACAGCAGTTCGAAGCTGGAGTAGATTTCTATTTTATGCCCCCCCCCCCTCCCCCTCATCTTTTTCTCTTGTTTATCGGTTATGAGATTTGGAATCTAAGGCCCTGTTTGTTTCAGCTTATGATTATTATAATCTAGATTATTAAACCAGATTACTATAAGCTGAATTATAATAAGCTGACATATAATAAGCTGTGAGTTGTTTGTTTGTCTGGATTATTGGAGGTATGGATTATTAGGTTTGAAAGGCTAAAGTCTATAATGCCCTCAGCTATCTGTTCGGTTAATGGCATAGGTGGGTAATTTTTCTCAAGTATGTAGGGGTAGTGGGTCTTTAGCCACTCAATAATCTGAAAAAAGCTCCTCTAGAACAGCTTATTAGATTATAATAATCTGGCTTATAGATTATAATAATCTGCTATAATAATCTATTTGTTTGTTTCAGCTTACTACTAATAAGTTAGATTATAATAATTCTAAGCTGAATCAAACAGGGTCTTAAGTATTTATGTAACTTCTGATTGTGTATATCCACTGCGGATATAGAAACCAGATTTTCATCCATTATCTAAAAATTATATATATAATATCATTTGTGTAACTAAAAGTTAAGAATTGTACACCAACTCTAATTTACTTAAAGAAAATGCATCTTATTCACTACGAAGACTACAAAATCTCATATTAATCCATAAAAAGGGTAAATACATTAACCATTCAATCATGGTATATCTAATTATAATGGTATAAATCAATTGACATAGATATATGAAAAAAAATAAGATAGTATTTATGGACAAATAATATAAAAACCATGACTATACAAATGGAAACATGCTGATATCGGTAAAAAAACTGGTAGTTTGTGAAGGAAAAATTGAAGTATAAAATCACATATGTAAATTAACTTGACCATATATAATATAATATAATATGACCACATAAATTCAGGTTGAACTATGTAAGTTACAATTTATCTCTCTTTAGCCATGCACGATTTCGGTTGATGATGGCTCTCTAAACTATTAACTAAATAGAGATATCGACCAGGCCACAAATACTAGAATATTTAGAAAAGGGGTGATATAGAAATGATAATTATCACAAAATAGGATAAAATAAGGAAACGGTAAGTAGTTCCTAAAAAAAATTCTGTTCTTGTTTCTGTTTTTTTAATTGTTTCCATTTTCCATATTTATGTTACGGGTACGGAGTATCATTGTCAAATGGTTCAGTTGGTACAACATCATAAATGAACATCCGTCGGACCGTATTCGTCTCTGACTGTACCATGGAAATATGTGTTAAGAGGCGTAAATTAAATTCAATGTAACTTTAGAAACATGTTGTTTATAAATTAAAATTATATTTATAGAATGAAAAGACCAAATCTAGTTCTTCCAACTCCGTGATTTTTGTGATGTTAGTAGGCAAATTGGCCCCTTCTATTTTTATCTAGTCTTACAGTACAAAACTTCGTACGCGATAATCCACTTGTTCGGTTGATGCTAGCATTAGGATTAGCTCGTTGTAGGGCGGCAACGGAACCAGAGAACACCAAACTGATATGCTACTCCGGTACTCCCCAAACAAGAAGGCCTCAACCATTTGGGTCCGTCCCAAATCCAAATGCGCCTACAATATTATTTCAAACGAGTATTGGCCAAGGACTTGTAAATATCCTATGATTGATGCGTTCGTCGGATCCACCCCTCACGTTCTTCTTGATCTCTACAGACTACATGGAGTACAGCTAATATTCGTTTGGCAATTGGCGAAGGTGTAGGAAAGATTCTAAACGGCATGGTTGAAGGCGGAATTCCTATTGGGCGGGTGATCGCTGCCCAGCGATCACCTCATGCCTCTCTCCTATCCTATATACTCCTCCCTCCTCTCCCCCTTCCTCCTCCCCTTCTTCTCTTTCTACTGCAGTACACCACACAAAATATTTTTAAAAACAAAAGTTAGAAAAATTTATTTATAGAAATATTATATATAAAAAATTTGAATTCAAATTCAAATTTGAATTGGGCATGTAAACTTTTGACTTATAAATTTTGGATCTATAAACTTTAGGTGTATAAACTTTAGATGTATAGAAATACTATATATAGAAAATATTTGAATTCAAATTCAAATTTGAATCGGGTATATAAACTTTAGGTCTATAAACTTTAGATGTATAGAAATACTATATATGAAAAATATTTGAATTCAAATTCAAATTTGAATCGGATATTTGAATTCAAATTCAAATTTAAATCGGATATAATTCAAATTTAAATTTGAATCGGATATATAAACTTTTGACTTATAAACTTTAGGTGTATAAACTTTAGATGTATAGAAATGCTATATATATAAAAAATATTTGAATTCAAATTCAAATTTGAATCGGATATATAAACTTTTGACTTATAAACTTTTGGTCTCTAAACTTTAGATGTGTAAACTTGAGGTGTATAAACTTTAGATGCATAAATTTACTAAAATAGAAAAGTAATGTGGTGCCAAAAAAGGAAACCAGATGGAGGGAGGGAGGGGGAGGAGGGGGGCTACCCGATCGCTACCAGGTAGGTAGGGCGATCGATCGCCCATTAGAACTACCCGGTTGAAGGCGGAGAGTCACGACTAACGAGAGACGAACCGAACACAAACTGATGCAGTGGCAGCTTGGCCCGCTTCGGCGCAGCTCACACTGCTCAGCACTGTAACTGGGATTTAAGTCCATCATCAAATGGAATAAGTTCACTTTGGCTCCCTCTATTTGTCGTCCAATCTGATTTTCGTCCCTCGATCGCAAAATCGGATAAGATAGGTCCCCCAACTTACGAAACCATTTAAATAGGATCCCTCGGCAGTATTTGACCCCGGTTTTGGCTGAGGTGGCGCCTACGTGACTAAGTTGACTCGGTCTTCATCTGACGTGGCATTGACGTGGCGCTTACATGTCAATTTGATTCCAAAAATAATAAAACCTATGAGGCCCACATGTCAGTTTCACCCACACAATAATAGAAAATGGTGGGGCCCACGTGGACCCCACCTATCATCTCACTACCCTTCTCTCTATCCCCTCTCTCTCTATCCTCTCTCTCCCTCTTCTCTCTCTCTATCCCCCCCTCTCTCTCTACCCTGAGAATGGCGAGCGGCGGCGGGTGGTGCAGAGGGGCGGCGGCGAGCGGCGAGTGGAACAGAGGGGTGGCGGGTGGCTCACCGTGTCGAGGTCACGCTCCAGCACATACGTCCCCTTGGCCGCCGTATCGAGCTGCTCCTGCAGCCGCAGCAACGACCTCGTCATGGACCGTCACCGCCTCGCCGGCCTTGCGACTGCCGCCGCCGCCGTCGTCACCTTCATGAACCCGCACAACTCTGCCGATGCCTCCGCGCTCGCCGGCAATGACAGCGCCTCGCCGTCGCATATCGCCTTCTTGAGCCTCTCCCAGGACAGCCTCTCGCTGGCGGGCAGGATGGGGCAGCGACCCAAGAAGCCCGACGAGGCACCGCGTGACCACCTCGGAGCCGATGCCTAGCTGCCGCCGCCAGCGTCGTCGCTGCTCCCGCCAACGCAGCCAGAGCCACCCATCTGCGCCGACTGCCTCCCAAAGCCACATCTGGATAAGAGAGGCAATTCAACAATGCTTGTCCCAAAAAGATCAAGGAACTCCAAGAAAGGAAACAGTGCTTGTCCCAAAAGATTAAGAAACTCGAAGAAATTGAGTTTTGGAATCGGGGCAATTCATGTGCCCATCACACCAAGGTGAGATCAGTCGGGAGAAGAAAAAAAGAGATAGAACATTGTTAGCAACCTTCTTCACTAGAATCAAACAACGGTAGTTCTCAATACAACTTGGAAGTGTTTGACTAGAGCAAGGTAGAATAATAATAGGGATACAAGCTAATAGAGAGACTGGATTGCCCTAGTAGCTGCAGTAGAGATAGTAGCAAGAGAGGTAGTAGAGGAAGAGAGGAAGATCGACAAGGTTCAGCCTGAACCAAGTCGCCGCCGCCGCCGTCGTGGCCGAAGCCGCCGATGCATGTTTGATCTCTGTTCTATTCCTTTTCCTGAGAGTGCAGCATCCCTTCCTTTCTAGCTCTCTGTTGGGCTTGCTTGGGCCAAGGATTGGGCTACTCACTGTGTTGGGTCGTAGTGCAGCCGGCCCAATTCCTAACAATACCCCTTCCTTTGAATCCGGCTTGTCCCCAAGCCGGCAGCCTGAAGCTATGAAAAGTTTACCACCACCTGGATCCCATGGCATTTGCAAAATAATCCTTGGTGAACATACAGCTTGCTCCATCCAAAAAAGAATAGCCCAATTGATAATCCATCCAATACAAATTGCATGTTGGACAACCTCAGAGAAGTGCAGGCACCAATATTCAGCACAAGCAATAGAAGCATGTAGCATATAGGAAGTGGACCTCAGAAAAGTGCAGTCACCAATATTCAATACAAGCAATAGAAGCATGTAGCATATGTTCTCCTTCCCACAAGCTCTGAATTTACTGGCAGAAATTTGTACCATGGAAGAACAACTTGGGTAGATCTTAATAGTTGACTTGTAACAGAGCAAAAACTTGACAGTTTGAGTTGCTGAAGTTATGTCCAAAATGACAGGATTCTCTATTTTTCCTTGCCTTGTTTGGAGCAGAATACCTTGCAAAGGTTGCACAAAATAAACAACCATATGGATAACATCTTTAATTGGAAGTGCATAGCTTTCAACCTTCCATGTAGCCCCAGTAAAAAATAGAAGCACCAAAATATCATACCATATCTTATCTATGAGGAAACACCATGGATTAAGCTCATCATCTATTAGTGCTACTAACAGATATATATTGCACCCGTTTCTTATCTCATCCAGCAGCTTAGTAGACCAATTATCAATGTACTGGGCTGATGGACATAGCATGTCTGAATCTTCCTTGATACCAAGACCATCAATGAACATTTTTGCTGCAGTACTAATATTACCAGGATTGTCCTCGCCAACATCAACATCACTCTTCTTAATGTTTTTGCTATGATCCACACCATCGAGTACCTTTTTCAGATTACCTTGCTTCAATAGTCTTGCCACCAAGTAGTTAGTTAATTGATAATTTTCTGGTTGTAGAGAGTAGCTGCCAATCTGAAACATCTCAACATCTGGATCCCGCACTAATAGCACAAAAATTACTTGCATGAGTTCCAATGGGTCCACAAGTTTGAATGGCTTGCCTTGGAGAAAACAGTCCTTGACTGCAGAGTGAATCAACCATTTGGTGCCAACTGTAATAAGTAGCACACTATTCATGTATTGTTTAGTGTTCCAAGCAAAGAGACTCACTTCTACACTAACTTTCCAATGCTTCCAAGCAAATAGATGCACCATGATACTTCTCAAATTTTGATTTGGTGGAGGCCATGGTTTCATATCAGTCCAATGCAACATTATATCCATCATGTCAGTATGAGCTGCTCCAAATTTAGAAAATACCAATGCAAGCCAACCTACTTTAAGTGGCGGTGGCCACGGTGGAATGAAATAAAATCTCATATCAGAATAATTGACTACAGTCCAGGACACATACCACTTCTTCCATCCTAACCAAGCAGGTGGCCATGGGTTTCTCTTGGGGTGTTCCATCAGTGGCTTGTTGTCACTCTCAGTACATTTCATCGAACACTTCATAGGCACCTGATCTCCCACGCAGATGGCAGCACCAAGCTTCAGCCCCGTGGGTGGAGATGGTTCCACCAATGATGTCGTGAACTCCACAGGGCTAGCCATGAGTGGGAATGCAAGCACAACTTGTTCAGTGCCCCGTTTGACGCCGGAGCCAGACATCGAACACTTAGCATGCGTCACCTTGGGGTGGTCAAGATTGTTGATGTAAGTGGCACCGATTGCGTTCCCAGCAGCTACCAACTCCATAGAGGCCACGACAGTGGTGGCGGACGTAACCACTGCAGCCACAGTGAGATCAGGCTCGACGGTAGGACCGGAGCATTTCGTTGAACACATGGTGGGTGTGACCTCGGGTGAGTCCTTGGTGACGACGCATGAGGCGTGGCCCTTGTGCTTGTTGTTTCCTAGCTCCCAGGCAGCTGTTGGAGCAGTATCCTCAGTAATGTGACTTGAACTCGCCGTCGCCCAAGTGAGGTTGTTGTTGGGGCATTCAGTCAAACACTTGGTAGGCGCTGGAGTAGGTGGTGCCATGGGTGCTGTAGGTGATTTAGCCTTGAGGACAGCGGTGGTTGCCCTGATGGCTGCAATTGTCTCCTCGGCAGCCTTGCTCCTACGAGCCTCTACCTCCTCCAACTTCTATAGTATTTGATTGAACTTCTCCTCTTGTCTACGGTTGGCCTCCATCAACTCAAACCTCTCAAGAATCCGATCTAAAGCTTCGTCCATGGATATTCCCTCCTTGTTCATGGTGGACTTGATGGGAACGGGCTCTGCTATCCTTTCATCATCCTTGAACACCTTATGTTGGCTTGGCATTCTGTCGAACAGGTTGTGTGTGCTAGATTCTTGAACACCCCCCTTGCCCAATTCTTCCTCCACCTTGCACCGCTGCCTTCCTAAGACCTCCATGATGAGAAATCCCACGAACCGAGTAGCTCTGATACCAGATTGTTAGCAACCTTCTTCACTAGAATCAAACAACGGTACTTCTCAATACAACTTGGAAGTGTTTGACTAGAACAAGGTAGAATAAGAATAGGGATACAAGCTAATAGAGAGACTGGATTGCCCTAGTAGCTGCAGTAGAGATAGTAGCAAGAGAGGTAGTAGAGGAAGAGATGAAGATCGACAAGGTTCAGCCTAAACCAAGTCGCCGCCGCCGCCGAAGCCGCCGATGCCTGTTTGATCTCTGTTCTGTTCCTTTTCCTGAGAGTGTAGCATCCCTTCCTTTCTAGCTCTTTGTTGGGCTTGCTTGGGCCAAGGATTGGGCTACTCACTGTGTTGGGTCGTAGTGCAGCCGGCCCAATTCCTAACAAACATTGAGCTTTTCGTCATCTGTTTGTATGTTCTTGTGTGTCAGTTCATTTTGCCATCAAATGCTGAGAAATTCTGGTTTATATTGGAACACAGCCATGGAATCCATGAGCATTGAGGAGTACATCAGCACGCTGCACCGAAGACGTCGTCCCCATGGAATTGCAGCGAATGATGCACCGGAGGACGTCGTCGGAGATCGAGCTGGCGATGGCGGGCTACTTCAATGCCAGCGACGAGGCGTCGGAGATCTGCAAGTAGCTGCTGACAAACATCAAGAACGCGCAGAGCAACTACCTGTCCATGGACAGCTTCCTCGCCACCAACTCCGACAGCGTCGCCGCTACCGGTGGTGCCGCGGCGATGACGGCGGCGGCGCCGCTCGCCGCCGTGCGGAGCAACCCGTTCAGTGACGTGGCGACGCGGAGTAGCCTCCGGCGGATCCACGACAGGTACTCGTCCATTCTCCACGCCATCAAGTCGAGCCACGGGAAGGTGGCGAGGGCCATCAGGAAGGTCTCCCGGGCGTGCTCGTCGTGGCGTGCGACGCCGCGGCGGCCACCTCTGTCGCCGTGGCCGCGCACCTCCTGTTCTTCGGCCTCATCGTCGGGGTGCCCGGCCCGCTCTTTCCCGCACCACTCCGGCCGCCGCCTCTCCTTCCCCGCCGCTTCGCCGCCGGCACCGCTTGGCCCGCCGGTCCGGCGGGAGAGAGAAGAGGGAGAGAGAGGATAGAGGGAGGGGGATAGAGAGAAGGGTAGTGAGGATGACAGGTGGGGTCCACGTGGGCCTCACCATTTTTTATTATTTTGTGTGTGAAACTGACATGTGGGTCCCATAGGTTTTACTATTTTTGGATCAAATTACCACGTAAGCGCCACGTCAATGCCACGTCAGATGAATACCGAGTCAAATTAGCCACGTAGGTGTCACCTCAACTTAAACTAGGTCAAATACTACTGAGGGACCTTATTTAAACGGTTTCGTAAGTTGGGGGACCTGTCGTTTCCGGTTTTGCGATCAAGGGACGAAAACTAGACTGGACGACAAATAGAGGGATCCAAAGTGAACTTATTCCTCATCAAATTAATCGGCATCTTTTTTAGGCTTGTAGTACTGTCAAGCCTGGGCCCATCGCCATGTATGGGCTGATATTTTATCTCGAAATGCTATCCAGACCATCAATCCGTCATACTCTGGCCTATTGGGCTGAGATAGAAGACCACAATTTGGCACCCAGAAGAGTTCTCTCACAAAGTTTAGTACGTGTGTTTAGGGCCAAGTGTCTGAGTCGTGTGCATCCCTCGCTCCTAAAAAACAAACCAATTCTCCTCCTATCACAGATTTCGGTCACAAGGTTGTGACAAAAACTCTGTGAATAGCCAAAACAATAACTTCATTTCAACTTAGCGAAAAACAGCGATTGCCTGCAGCTCATCTCTGTGAATAGCCAAAACAGTATCTTCATTTCAACTTAGCAAAAACACGGCGATTGCCTGCAGCTGTACTCCAATCACTCCGTTCCGGCCCTGACCTGTTTCGCTTAGGAAATACACAGTTGGGCGCTCCGCGCCTCCGCGGCCGAACTCTGAACAATCGTCATCGCTGTAGATTTGCGCGGACCTCACGTAGCCAAATCGGAATTCGCGCGCCTCTCGTCTCTCCGCTCCGCACAAGCGCACAACTTCTCTTTCTCTGCAGCGCGCACGCCTTTTGGGTTTTGGGCCACTGTACGTTTCCTGGCCAGCGAGATTACCCCTATCTTTCGCGCCTGTACACCTGCCAGCAACAACGTGCACTCTCTATACACCCTACAGCTGCTACACTCCCGGACGGGGACCGATCACCGCAACTCCTCCACACAATGTCACCGACCGGCTACTACGCCCCCTACGCCAGGGATCTGCTTAGCCTCATGTGGAGGAACAGAAGCGCACATCAATACTCGTCACCTACTCAACTGTTGCTACCGGTAATCTCGTATGTATACTTCAGCCATGTTTAGTTCACACCAAATTTTTCTCAAACTCTCAGCTTTTCATCACATCACGTCACATATAAAATTTTCCTACTCACATAAATTCCTAACTTTTTTTCCAAACTAACAACTTTTTTCAAACTTCTCCCCAATTTCAGAAACTAAACACAGCCTTCAATGATTGCATACATAGTATGTGCATATGCTTCGTCTATCGTGAATAAGGGCAGCCATCGATCTCGGGTGTTTTGCCTCAACTTGCGTCGAAATCGAATCGAGTGTTGGGGAGTACACGCATACGGAGTACTTGCGAACATTCACTGCTGCTGTAGCTAGACTGGCCATTACTACAGCCAGAGACATGTGTAGCACACGGGAGGAGTAAAGTGCGTATGCAACTGCATAGCCTAGCTGGTAGTAATACTTACCTAGAACTGATGCATCATCTGGAACTGAACTTGCAATAACGAAGTGCAGGGATGCACTGGCGCAGGAGATGCCGCCCAGCATGAACAGAGGAGAGCCAGTCTTTTTCCTTTTGGCAGATGCGAGGAGCAACCCAAGTACCCAACCCATTGTGTTGGCCTGGCCATAGCTGCCATCAGGTCGTCTCCTCCTAACCACTTCACTGTATACAACCTCATCTTGTAACGCCTTTCCGTTCATGTGTACCACCACCACGACCAGCAGCATGGCCTGCAGCAAACTCATTGTGCAGCAACTCATTGATCGATTGATCGAAAGCGATGGAGCCGTTGCATGCGCTGCTGCATGCTACCGATGGACCACTTGGGGGCCGGCGAACTGGCGATGCCAAGTTGCCAATGTACATTATTACGTACGACACTGATCTACATCTACCGGGCCACAGTGTGCAGTTACTGTTTGGTCCACACAACTGATCCCTCCATCTACCGGCTACCGGCCGGTAGGTCGTACTGTACTCCTACTCTGTGTGTGTGTCTATGGCGGTCTTATCTACTTACCTCATTCATGTACGGAGTACACAACATTTTTTTTTTGAATTGACCCTCTGGTACACAACATCAAGATTCATGACGATAAAACTGCGATATACCTATATACTATTTGTGATGCGATTTTCGTTGCATATGCTACCCTAATGATGATTACAGAGATATTGTGAGCAATTAGAGTCCTATACGATTACATCGTGATACATTGTGATGATTAGTTGATTACGACTAGTACTAAGGCAATCGAAAACATAATGTGATCATTAAGACCAGTACTAATGCAATCGAAAACATGGAGTAATGATTAAGACTAGTACTTAACTAATTCAATCAAAACATATGCCCGGGCACCGGAACCATTTATTGTGCTGAGGTGAATTGGATTTGGCCAAATCCAGTCCGCGACATCAAACTCATCAATGCGTTAATGGGCAACACACCTTATTACTGGATCAGAGTAAAGTGCAGGCTCGCAGCTTGTTCAGTTCAGGCTTTCAGGGGGGCACTACTTCTCAATTTATTCCCAGTTTTACGGTGGGACAGCGATCACCACGTGATACGTTTGCACGAGTGCAAAACTCAATTTTACCAATGGGAATTGAGATTTCAGTCACCTAAAATTTAAACATGTTTCAGTCAAATTCCTACTACTATCTGCTGAGCACCTCCTCTTTGGCAACAGCGGCATCACGGACCAGTGACGAGCTCCTTGATGATCCCTTCGTTCGTCGTCCGTCCAAGTCCATGGCCTCGTCGGTTGGAGGAGAATGGTGGGCAGGATCGATGGCAAGGGCATCTGATCTACGGCGGTGTCTACGGCCACCAGCTGCTGGAACACAGGGAAGACAGTCGGGCGGGAGATCGAATCTTGTTGGCTGTGTTCGTTTGGACGTTTTCACAGCGCGCTACAGTAACACGGAAAACGGAACGGTCCATTAACACGTGATTAATTAAGTATTAGCTAATTTTTTTTCAAAAATAAATTAATTTGATTTTTTTAAGCAACTTTTGTATAGAAACTTTTTACAAAAAAGTACACCGTGTAGTAGTTTGAAAAGCGTGCGCGGGGGCAAAACACTGTAGCGCGCTGGGAAAACGTCCAAACGAACACAGCCGTTGTCGTTCGGAGCGGCGGAGACTGGTATAGCACTTGCATGGATTATCAGTGCTGCTAGTGTCTTCCGATGCTAGCGAGGCAGTGAATTGGGAAGGGGGATGGAAACGGCTGGGAATGGTCGGAAACGATATTATTTTTTATTACTTTTATAAAATGGTCAGAAAAAAAATATATTTATAAATTTAATTTTTTAGTGTCAACTTCAATACAATATTGATAGAAAATAAAAAAGTTAAAATTTAAAAGTAGTAAAGATAATATTATTATATTAATTTTAGGGGAACGATATCGATACGGCCAAAAAAAATTGTATACCAACACGAAAATATTGCACATCAATATATTAGAGAATAGAGTTTTCGTTACACATCGCACTCGGGTAGACCGGCCTATGCCAGGGCAAGGAAGAAAATAAAGCCAAAAACAAGGAAGAAAAATAAACACTCGTACGACGGGTAACACTACTCTAAACAATGGGACGGGGCAGAACCACGCTACACTCCCAACAAATCCAAAAAAGCAACGTCCGCTAACGAACACAGCCGATCTCTTCGAAAGGATGGACTCTAGTGTACCGTTTTCACATGTCCCAGGATCAGCAGGAGAAAGAGGATTGTGTTAGCTGATGAGGGAAAGAATAAAAGATAGATTTTAGGAGGGGGTTTGCACGAATATTAAAGTTCCTAGTAATTTATATAGGTTCATTACTTTTTCCTTCGTCCAAGGCTGTGCTTAGTTCACGGGGTGTTTGATTGAAATTGAAACGATGAGACGGAAAAGTAGGAAGTTTGGCCCTGTTTAGTTCCAAAGTTTTTTTTTTTCCAAA